CATAATATATCTTTAGCTCTCACAACTTTTACAGGCAACTTTCAAAATGCTCACCATATTCTTAGGCCATAAACTGTGGTCATTTATGATCTTACTGTATTCAGTGATATTGCATGCCTGCCTTTAGATTCAGGGTTGTACCTTATTCTTGAGAAACAATGGTTTACAAGATGTATTATATATCTATTATAAGATTAGTGCTGCGGCCTATTTGTAGTGAATAATTTTATAAAGGTTGGTTTTTCTTCTTTATGAATTGTTTGTGAGTACGTTTTGGTTTTCTACAGATTTTACCTAGAATTATTTACTGCTGAAGTCTATGAGTAATTAGTCTGTACCAAATTAGTGGCTTGTTGCCAGGTCTTTATTAAAAATTCAAGCTCCATTGGTTAATTTTACCTGGGCATGTAAATTACCCGTATATGCTTTAATATGCCTGGGCTGGTTAAGCATATGTCCCAGAAGTAGTTTTCTAGTTTGAGTACATTAACAATTTTCCGTGGATTTTTTTTTATCTATGCTGTTTCCACTCATAACCCTGCTAGAAAATCTACAATCCTGTATTAATGAGTATTAATCGATGGAATAACTGTGATTTTTTTTAACACTTTATACACACAAGGGCAAAACTCCTCTCTGTTCCACTGACTTCAGTGGAGTCTTTTTGGATGTATAGTGGTCTAATCTGAGAGCAGAATGGGTTGTTAGGGACCTGATTTGCTGCTGTTGTCCAACCGCATAGCCTCACTAGGGAACAAACTAGCACAAGATAATCCAGGGGTGGGCAAAATATGGCCCACAGGCCAGCTCCAGCCCACCAACAGATTTGATCCAGCTTGAGGGTGGATGACCACCAACTCACTGAACCTGGCCCAAGGGCGGCTGGTGGCTCTGGCCAATGTGTGGTGCCAGGTCAGTGGGAGGATAGGACCGCTTCCATCCAGCAGCATCAGCCTTTGACACAATGGCATTAGCAGCAAACCCAGATGGGGACTTCCGTTGCAGCAGGTGGGTGGTGGTGTCAGCTGTGGGTGCAGCCAGCAGGTTCCAGAGCCCTGACGTAGAAACTACCAATGGGGTCCACAGATGACACCACTGTCCACTGAAGCGCCCACCCAGGGCCCTGAATCAGAACCTGCCAGCAATGTCAGCTGTGGACCCAGGAAGGAGTTTCTGCCACGCCAGGTGGGCATCAGTGTCAGCTGTGACAACACTGGCAGGTTCCACTTTGGGCTTCCAGAACCTGCTGGCTGTGCCCACAGCTGACACCATCACCCACTTGCCAAGGCAGAAGTCCCCACCTGGGTCCATAGCTGAGTTTCAGAGCTCAGGGCGAACTATACCTCTGGCTGGGGAGAAGAGAAGAAAAGAGAAGAGGGAGAAGGAGAAGGGGAGAGATGGATATGGCCCTCGGTAGGTCCCCAAAACTCATTAAGTGGCCCTCTAGCTAAAATAATTGCCCACCCCTGAGATAATCCCAACCAGATCTGTGCCATTACCACATAAGCCTGTGGTACACGGAATATCCAGGCTCAAATATGTGGGAGCCCCCCCATAAGAGATGAGAGCCCCCCTGTAAGATTTGATAATCATAACCTGAGGGGGGTCAGAATTCCAGGGGATTTTATTAGGGCATCGTGATGGTCAGCCCAATTTTGTTTTATAGCCCCCCAACAGTCAAAGTGTAATTCAAACCCTGGGGAACATTTTACAGCAGATCAGAAGTGGTTAAAGATTAGGCTGAAGAGAGGGAAGCAGAAGTGGGCAGAACTCAGGCTGCCCCACACCCTGGCTGTTACCCAGCTATCAGAACCCAGGGCTCATTTTAGCCTGTACCAGATGCTTAACTGGCCTCCAGCAAGCCTACAATAAGTCCACCTCTATTGCCTTTCCATAATAGCCCTAGGATGTCTTGTCTTGTATTATTAGTCCATGCTGGAAATATTAGCAGGTGAGTGAAAATTTTAGTGTGTGTTGCATGTTTTAGTAAACCATCAATTTAATCTTTTTTTTGGCTGTTTGATTCCTCATTCAAAATAACCTTTGTGCACAATGTTAAAAATATGTTAAGGAAGTAACTTCCTTCTACTCTCCTAATTTCTTTTTTGCATGCTCACTTCTTTTATTTATACCCCTTGCTAGCTAAGGAACAAGTGAAGGAACACTGCCAAATGGTAAAACACTGAATTGGAAATAGCTCCCTCTTCAGCACTATTTCTATCTCTCCAAATAATATTAGCAGAGCTTATTGTTGCTTGTTATGATTCACATGTGAAAAGTGCGTGGCCCATTATGTACGCATTGTCTGTAAAAAGGAAGTTAGTCGCACAACCATTGAGGAAACTGAGGTACAGAAGTGTGGTGGAACTGGGAGTAATGCATGCTAAAGGAATAAAAGATGTGGTAGCTTAGTTAAAATGGTGAGAGAAATGGACAGACAAGGAACAGTATAACATAAGGGGTACCGTTTTGGAGGTTGTGGTTGTCAGTAGTCCCTTGATTTGAGGATGATCTCTCCACTATGGCTTGTTGATGGGCCTTAAGGTAACTTAAGAGTCTGATTCCCTGAGCCATGGACCTGTCTGCAGAAGTTGCAGGTCTTTCCGCAGGGGAGAGTTTATGCTGTAGGCTATTTCTTTCCTTTTCCTTCCTCTGTTCTCACTTTTCTGCTTTGAGGGCAAGATGCTTTACCTGGAAAGACACTGCCGCTTGCCTGAGGTTGTGATAAGATTGGAGTTGGTTGGCAGCCAGCTCCTTCCAGCTCTGTTTCTTTTTCTTGAGGTATTCCTTCAGTGTGTCCTTGTCGTGTGGGAAGTAGCTTCACAGTGGTGTACAAGGTGTGTCATGACAGCAGTTAATTTGCTGTTTGGGTAGGATGGGTGGCACAGAAGGCCAATGAAGCTTCAAGAAGCACCAAAAATCTGCGGGTGTAGCAAGAGTTTTGATTCAGTACGTAAAAGTTAAAGTTGACATTACTGACCCCATGCAGTAAGTGTTGCCATCTGAAGTTCCAGAAGTTGTTGACCTTTTGCACTGCTGCCCCAGATATTAGAGTTGGGCATGCACAGTTGAGAGAGTGCTTGGCAGGACTGTGAAGTGTATGTTCTGGGGTATAGATGGGAGATTGCTGTGACTGACAGGTGAATGTATATAGTGTGAAAGTGAATCGAGTGAAATGGTTGGATCCTGCTTGGTTGGCATTGATCAACAGATCCTTTACCTCAGATGACTGGTTGATGAAAGTGAAGTGACTGAGGCCTTTAAAACCTGCAGCTTGGAGCTGTTGTGTGCAGAGAGTGTGGTCCTGGCAGTGCATGTTTGTATGTGGAAGTTGGTTTATTAATATGTGTTCAAATTGCACGTGTTTGTTAGCATGTGAGGTTTGGCAGGGCTGGTGTCTTAGTGAGACTGTGGCTCAGAAGCCCAGTCCTTTGAGAGACTTTCCTGCCACGTATATTAGATTTTGACCTTTGGAGTGAGCGCCTATTGGATTTGTCACTGCTGTTTGCCAATTGCATTTGCTGATACTGGGTTGTTCTTTTACCAAACTAAGAACAGATGACAGTGGAAAGTATATTGGCCGCCTGTTGTTAGTGTTCGTTCTCCCCTTGGCTTCATTAAAATTCCCCTCTTCCCTTTGTTACCTGTTCTCCGTAATAAATCCTCTCTGTGTTTGCACCTTTCAACACTGCTTCCTTGTTATTCCATTATCAACTCAAGTCAGGCTGGAAATCCCACTTGACAGCATAGGTCTGCACTGTTAAACAGCCTGATTCAACCTCCTGGAAACACCACCCAAGCACCTACCTTAGCGAGGTCATGTTTTGAGGTTCACCCACCTTAAAATTTGTCCTTGCAGCAGGGGCACCAAGACAGAATCTGTGGACCCTGAGGATGGGGAGCCAGGGGAGAAAGGTACCTTGGGTACTTGCTGGGGGTGGCTGAGCAGGGAGCATCTTAATAGGATGTTTTGTTTGGCTGGAGGGGAGCCAAGGGGTCAGAGAGACTCTTTAGGTCCCAGTTTCCCCAATGGATGTCTGGGGGTGCAAAGGGGAGTATAGGGAACAGCAGTGAGTGTGTAAGGATGTGGCAGGGCTCTGCTGGATGCTTCAGGAAGAACGTTCTCCCTAGGAGGGTAGTGAAGCACTGTGACAGGTTACCCAGAGAGGTTGTGGACTTTCCCATCGTTAGATGTTTGTAAGCCCAGGATAGACAAAGCTTTGGCTGGGATGATTAGCTGGGGACAGCCCTGCCTTGAGCAGGAGGTTGGACTAGCTCAGGTTCTCAACCTTCTGCACCTTACCTCCCACCAACCATTTCATCAAAAAACCCTGGTCCCAAAAAACCGTGATGCAAGCAAAACCGCACTTTTCCCAAGAAGTGCATTTGTACATTTACATGAATTTTAGTATTATTTGAAAATTTCCATTAATGATTAATACGAGCTGAAGTCCCACCTACGTGACTTTCATGTCCCACTGGTTGAGAAACACTGGTCTAGATGACCTCCTGAGGTCCCTTCCAACCCTGACCTTCTACAATTCAAGGAGCAGCAGCAGCAGAGGCGGGTGGGAAGCGCGGAGGGGGGCCGGGCATGGGCTTGCCCGAGCGAGGAGCACGGGAGGTTGCGTCGCTGCAAGGAGAGAAGCTACGAGGCAGCAAGAAGACACCTGCGGAAAGCAGCGGGACACGCCGAGCGTGTCAAAACGAGCCTGCTTGCACTGGGCGCGGCAGAGCACAACCCTACCCTCAGAACTCAAGCGAAGCACCGCCCCGGCTCCTCTTCTGGGGTTGGGGGGGTGGCCGTGACGTCACGCGCGGGAATTCTAGACCGTTCCACAGCTTGTGGCGTAGGGCGGCGTCATTCCAGAAGCTTCGGCGCTGCCGCTATAAAAGCGGCGGGACAGGCGGGGCGTGCGTGAGCGGACAAGCGGAGCAGTGCTTGCGGGTGGGGGCTAGTACGGGGGGCGCGCCAACGGCCGCGCTGTGCTGCAGGCGCCATGGTGAAGGAGACTGGCTACTACGACATCCTGCAGGTGAAGCCCAGCGCCAGCTCGGACGAGATCAAGCGCGCCTATCGCAAGCTGGCGCTCAAGTACCACCCCGACAAGAACCCGAGCGAGGGCGAGCGGGTAGGTGCGGGGCGGCGGGGCGGCATCCTCCGGAGTGCTGCACTGTGCTGCGCTCCGCGGGAGGGGCCGGGCGGGCTCGGGCCAGGCAGCCGCCGGCGGTGCAGCGGTCTTGGGAGACATGAGCCCTTGTAACCGGGGCCCGCTCCGTGCTGGGCGGAGCCGACGCGTTGGCTTCAGCGGCGCGGCCTCCGGGGGCCGTGCGCGGAGACCTTGTTTGCCCTCCAGACCCGCGAGTGCGGGGCGCAGCTGTGCCAGGGCCTGCGGAGCTGTGACTCCGTGTCTATGGAAACGGCATTGTTATCAAAATAAGATCCCAGGAGCCCCGGGTGTTAAGCTTGGTGGTGAGAAGCTAGGGACTTTATTTAGCTGCTTGCGCATGGGTGATTACAGCCTGCACAAGCATTAGATACTTTATACAAGTGTAAAGTATGGTGTTATATAGTCCTTGGTGTTCTCTTCTTAATTCTGCCCTAGATTAAGTAGATGAATGTACCACAGTGCTCTTGGAGGCCACTATATTCATCACTAAGTATAATGAATCTTTTAGGCCTTTTGGAGAGGAAATAATTATTTAAGTGGAACTTTCCTTTTGCAGCTTGTTCTGGTTTGCTGGACTTAAAGGGAGCATAGCTAATTCAGCTGTCAAACTTCAGGTTACCTAATTAGGGGAGTTAGCTTGTGGAAGAAACAGGCTAACTGTCAGAGCTGGCTATTATGATCTGGCCTGACTTGCGGTATTTCTTATTCCCTCTTCCTCCCTTCTTCTCCCCCCCCCCCTTAAGTTTTGTTTCAGTTCCTAGAGTTTCCAAGCCTTAACAAAGAGAAGGCCTAAGTGATTGGATGGTATAAACTTCAGTAAAAATTAATAATGTATAAAAGTGCTGGCAGCTGCCCCTAGTATGTATTTATATCCTGTTGCTTTGAAGTGGTGGAGCTGTCCTTCAGAACATGATATTTGCATGGAAAAGGCTGGTGTTGATGGGCAAGGTAACCCCAGAGGGAGCCATTTTAGGTGTCTTTGGATTTTATAAAAGGTTTTGCTAACCTCTAGTAGATAGTAAAAAAGAGAACTCCTTTTTTAATCCATCACCTGAGAAAAGGGCAGTGTAATAAGAAAGCTGTGAAAGTTAATCATAGTTTGAGTGATGGGCTCACAAACTTGGTGAAGCTGAAAACTACTTCCAAGTAATTCTAAAGCAGCTTTATCAGTCAGTGTGCAGGATGCATAGTAGATGGGTCTAGCCTACTAATAGCACAACTCATTGAAGCTTTCACTAGGATGAAACCAGAGGATTCTAATTGTATACACCAATGTTTGCTTCATATGTTCCGCTCCACAGAAATGTGGGAAAAATGCCTTTTGGAGACCATGTAGGGAATGCTTTTCTTATGTGCAGATAATTTATTAAAGAGGAAATTGAGCTGTTGATCTTAGAAATGTAATTGCTTCACAGTGGAGTCTGGGTCAGAAGAAAAACTGAGTAGATAATAGGATTGATAGGCTTTCTGTGGAATACAGTGAAAGTATAGTCTAGTTCATGCTTGTCAGTCTTGTAGTTCATTTAAAGTTCAAGGCAAAATATAAAAGATGCATTCAAAATTATACACACGTTTCATGATGATAAATGTAAAAGTCTGGATTCCTAAACTCACTTTTAAGACAGGCTGTATGTATTTGATTTTTGGGGGTGGGCAAGACATAATTGATACAGACTGATTAATGTAATAGCACCTTGCTAGTCTCTCTTGCATATGTTTACAAACTGTTTAAAAAGCTTTCTATAAATGAATTGCAAGTGCTGCAAGAAATCTTTTTGATTGCAGTTCAAATCCTGAGGCAGTTAACCAATCCAGTTATGCAGGTTATTTGTGCTATTGGTCATAGTTGCTCAGAGCTTCTCTTTCTCTTTTTTTAGTTTAAGCTCATATCCCAGGCATATGAAGTTCTGTCGGACCCAAAGAAAAGGGACCTTTATGACCAGGGTGGGGAACAGGCTATTAAAGAAGGAGGCTTGAGTGGCGGCAACTTCTCTTCACCCATGGACATCTTTGACATGTTCTTTGGTGGTGGAGGCCGAATGAATAGAGAGAGAAGAGGTACATAGTTCTAAACAAGTTCTAGAACTTAACCACACACTAGTGCATAAGAAGCAAGTGTGTTTTTTTTTTTTGTTTTTTTTTTTTTTAGTATAATTACTAAATGAACATAGTGTAGATGTTATCTGTTGTAACAGCAACTTTTGCAAGGTATGAACTGATCCATTTTTCTATAGAAACTAGAGTCTAACAACATAGATAATGTGATTTAAGACATATTGCTAACTATTTCTT